TTTATAGGATTGTTACAAATGGAAGTTTTATTTAAATGAGACAACACTGAGGAGTACACTGAAGATCGATCTGATAAAATACAGTAAAAGAGTTTAATTTGAGTTTGATATGCAGCATGGGCGCACGCGCGCGCGCGCGCGCGCGCGCGCACACACACACACACACACTTACACATGCATTTAAACCTAGCCTCACTGCTTTCCCCCTGAGACGCAGACACACTGTCGAGAAAGGTCAGTGTCCTGCCAGCATCCCTAAAATAGCCAAACTGTGACAATGTGCTGAGAAGAGGCAGGACGCCCCAGAAGTTCAATACAAGCTGAAGAGAAGGCGGAGGAGGCCTGGTGGAAAGTTGGTCTGGGCTTTAGTCCCTCCTCTGTGATGGCCTTGTCCCAGGGGCCCTGGAGAAAGTCCTCTCCTCTATAGAATTCTATTTTTCCATCTAGAAATAAGCCCACCCACTCTTCCTCCATGGTGCCCCAGATGACATCAGAAGGTGTTCCGGTTTGGATCTAAAATATCCTTCCCAAACTCATGTGTTAGGCAATGCTGCAATGTTCACAGATGGAATCACGGGAACAGCGGGGATCTGATCTCATCAGTGGATTAATCCATTTGATGGATTCATAGTTTGAGAGCACTGCTGTACTAGATGACAACTGTGGGCAGGTAGGGTGTGGCTGGTGGAAGTAGGTCCCTGGAGATTGCCTTCAGGGTTTCTATTTTGTTTCTAGTGTCTCTGTTTCTCTGCTTTCCTGCTTCCTTGAGCTGAACAGCTTCCCTCCACCATGCCCTTCCACCATGATGTTCTCCTTCACCTGGGGCACACTGCAGTGGGGACAGTGGGCCAGGGACTGCACCTCTGAAAACGTGAGCCCAAATCATCTTTTCCTGCACTAAGTTGTTTGTGTCAGGCATTGAGGTCACAGTGATTCAAAGCTGACCGACACCTGGGGAGCAGTCATAAATAGAAAAATAAACTCTTACTTTCTTGTCCTTCCCTAGTCTATTCTTATTCCCCAGAAAACCAGGGTTCGAGGTTATGGACATGGGGAAGCTTGGTTTAGACATCAGCCCCCCACATCACACACACACACACACACACACACACACACACACACACACACACTGCGATGCAAGTTTGAGCAAAGGGCATAGAACCTGTAACCCCAGGCATGTGGTTTCATTCAGTCTTCTGAGCCACGCCCAGGTAGGCCAGGCTGCTGAGCCTACTCACCTCCCCCTGAGCTTTTATCCCTGAGAGATGGGGACAGCAATGTCTCCACCTAGAGAACAGTTGGGAATGAGAAAGGAAGCCAGGCCTGTGGGGTGTCTGGCCACAGCTTAGCCCATAAGAGTTAGGCTTGTGGCCCTGGGGATTAGCCATGCTCCCTGGAAGTAGGCCACAGGGGCACCAGAGCCAACAGGGAAGGTCAAGTTGTCAGGCTGCCAGTGTCTAATCCCAGGCAGCACGAGCCTCAGTGTGGAACTAACTTCCAAACCCACCTGAGCAGGAAAAATGGTACCAGCCCAGTGTGGTGAGAAAGCCTGACCCCAGATTCCCAGGTAAGGTGACACCTTCTCACTTGTCACCTGGACTGCAGGAAAGGTTCTGGCAGTGGCCATAGTCCAACTACCCAGGACTTGTTTGCTCTGTTTCCAGGTAGACATGCGTTTTTTTAGTGACAAGGAAATGCTGTTTTACATCTGGGGTTCTTAACACTCACTTTAGGGTTTAGGTTTTCCTCTGCGGGACGGACCAACATTTCACAATAAGGTGGGGTCGTCCCAACCCCAGCTGGGGTGGTGCTTGTGCAGTGCAAGCAGATGGCTGCCTCTTCCTCCTGGGCAGGGCCTTGAGATTTCCATCAGAGGCAGGGGAAGACCAGATCTCCGGATTCCTCTTCAGGACAAATGCATTTGCCACAATCTTAGAAATGAAGTTTATCTTTTTAATAGCATAGTGAGACTTCATCTTGCATATTAGAAGTTCACCAGGTATTAGGTAATTTAGATCATAAATTCTCTTCAAAGTGACCCATCATCTCGGTATTTATTTTTTTTCTCTCTGAAAGGATGGGAGGCATAAAAGCAAGCTTTGTAGTTTTATATCTGTCAGCTTGTCACATAAATATCTCAGTAACTACTGATCTTATCATCATAAAACTTCCATTTGTACAGTTAGACATGTCACGTTAGCCTGTTACACACAAAAAAGTCAAGCACACGCAATATTCAACCCCATTCGGGGCCAGTGCGGCCTGCTGCCAACCCCATGTCTGTCTGTGTAAGGCGAAGAGAGGTCCAGGTCCGGGATGGGAGATACTTGAAATGGGCTCCACTGGAGAAGGGAACAATGACAAGACTCCAAGAAGCCTGCATCCCCACACCTGAGGACGTTCTCTGTAGTGTTGACAGAATGAAGCCCTTGGGAAGGATGGATCTCTCTTCTCAAAGGGCCCCATTAGGAAACAGTTTGGCAAATATCATTCACAACGTCCCTTGTGATCCTGGTAGCGAATCAGGACTAAAGCCTACTTGCAGGTCACCTCTGGGAGCAGATGGGGGTGGAAAATGATAAAAACCCATCTTAACCCAAAAACTCACTGAGTGACAGTTAGTGTCACTCAGTGAAGGGGTTCAGAGAAACAGAGGCCCAAATCTATCACAGGGGGTAAGATTTGTTTATGAACAAATACAGTTCCATCTGGGCCCTGTGACAGCACAAGAGAATACCAGGACGCAGAAGGAAGAATCTTGGGAGAATTTCAAGGGCAGGAAATCAGAGAAGACTTTGGCAACCGGGGCTGTGAAAATGGTACTTTGGTGTTTGGACCCTGGGGGAGGACCGAACATTCATACCTATGGAATTTGACTATTTCTTTTTCTATTTACTGTTTAATTGGACACTAGCTGTACACCAGGCACTGTGCTATGGCTAGAGACGTAGTAAGGACCAAGGTCAACCTAGCCCTAGACCTCCCATTAGAATTTATCATCTTATGCAGGGGGTGGGGTGCAATTAAGAAAACTGTCCCGTGAATAACAGACTCCACCTCAGAGGGAGTCACAAGGGCACCCAGTGCAGTGTGGAAGGATTGCGGTTCAGCCATCTCTGGATAAGCCTCTTCCGGTAGGCACACAGAGGTGTCTGAAGACACCGGCCAGCCCTCTAGGCCCCAGATGATGTGGGAGCCCACAGAGCAGAGAGAGGCAGAGACCTTGGAAGGGTGTGGGTGCTTTGGACCCACAATGAAATGGAAATGCTCCCTCCTCCCCCACATACAGGTCCCCACTCAGCGCTGCCTTTGGGAACGCCATTGTATTGGACATCTGTCTCAGCGGCCACTTTGAAAGATGGGCTTCCTTAAAGATGGCCTCTGCTGGAACCAGCTCAGCAGAAGCCACTGACCCCTGAGAAATGGTGAAGGAAGCTAAGGGGTCAGAATAAGGCCTCAGCTGGGAGCCACGGCCTGCTGGAGGCAGAGACGACCGGTGAAGAGGTAGGCGAGGACTTGAGTAGCCGGGTTGCATTGTTCTGTAATTTTTAGTTGTATTTTATACATCAGAAATTTTCTTTTTAGGTCTTTTTGGGGAGTCAATATATTTTTTTTCTTTTGTCTCTAACCTAGAAAAATAATAATAGCTGCTATTGACTTAGCCTTGACAACCAGTCAGGAACTGGGTGCATAGTGCCCCATTCACCAGAGTGGCCATCCCCTGAGTTTACATGAACCCCATTTACAGCCAGGGCTCAAAGACGGGATGCAACTGGCAAAGACCCAGGATTCAGAAACCAGGAGAGTCCCTGGATGCATCTCCCTGATCCATGCCATGGTCATTGCTGTCCATAGCACTGACTTGTCCTTTACATCTGCCCTACCTACAGCAAGATTTTGGGTGGTCCTATGTGTGTAGGGGTATGTGAGGAGGCAAAACATGTAAAGCTAAGATAGGAGTACCTGAATATCAGGGAGTAAACATTATTTTGACCAAACATTTCTCATTCTGTCCCCAAACAACATTCCTTTGTTGACTGAGCCTGGAACATGTCCACCTGCCATTGCCCTCTCCTTGAAGATGCACCCTGAGGTTCATCCCTGCAAGATGCCCTCTCTGGTCATGCCAGCTCTCTGGCTCCACCCAGCACTTTGCCTCCTCCTTTGGTACATCCCATGGGCTGTACGTTGTGTGAGCAGTCACCCCACCACCCAGGAGATTGTGCTGTTTGACCTTCAACACCTTTGGACATAGCCAAGGCTGTTCTAAGTGAACATGGGGAACACCAAACAAGAATCTGTTGCAAGGATGGCTCTGGGCAAGCTAAAACTTTCAGGTCAAGTGTAGAGTTCGCTTTTGAGAGTGTGGATCACTCAAAACACCCACAAGGCTCTGGGTACCCTAAGGGCCAACCAACAACAGTAGAGTAGGAAGCGCAAGGTAAGCTAGCTGTGACTTGTAGCCCCATTGGTTAAATAGGCACTTATCAGCCATGAGGAAGGGAATTAGGAAAGCAAAATCAAGATGAGAGAATGCACACCTCTCATCAAGGAAAGATCCAACCTTTAAACAAAGCCAATAGCAAATTCCCAAAGGCTGCTCAGATCCACAGCCCGGGCCCCTTCCAGGACACAGTCTAAGGAAACCCTCTTGCTCATTTCGGTTCTTCTTACAGAGATGAGGGAGCTGCACAGTGATTTTGTGAGTGAGGAGACCCTTCGGAGATGATTAAGTACTGATTAGGAGCGTTTCACTCCTAGACCTGGTGGTTCTCTGAGGGATGCACAGCATTTTAATTCTCAAGCTAATCCTCGATTAACACCCAGGAAATTTGGGCCTTTTAATTAAAAAGAAAGAAAGTCTGAAAAAGAAAATAGGTCAATGGACCTTTCTGAAAGGTGGTCCCAGGGAAGCCAAAGGCTTGCCTTGGATGGAATTTCCAGGTCTCCCGGTGTTAATAGAATTGAGATCGCCTTGAGAATGTAGATCGCAAGAACAGAAAGCTCCATCCTTTCTCACTGACCCAATTTGAGAAGTAAAAATTGATCAGCAGACCAGCTGGGCATGCAGACACGGACCACAGCATTTGCATGGACTGTTAAGAGTGTTATTCACAGCTTCTGGCGGAGGAGCCAGGCACTTCTCTGCATCCAAAATGGCATGCTCGTGATGACGAAACCCCGGCCTTCATCACCTGCATGAGGCCAGAGAGACACAGCAGCACCACCCCCGGGGTCAAGGGGAATCCAGGTAGGATAATACACCAGGGGGAGGTTGTAACGTTCGTCAACGCTGCTGCCTGTTAGCACTGTTACAAGGACCTGGCGAGGGAGGTGGTGACGTGGGAAGAGGAATTCCAAAGCCTCTCAACTGTATACATTTTCTGAGTTTCCTCCTTCACTTGCCAATGGACTAGAAAAAGAAAATGCGTATTACAAAAAAATTTTTTTTAAGTTAGGGCATAATTTACATACCATCAATGCACAGCTCTTAAGTATACAGTGTGATGAAGTTTGACAAATATGTACATTCATCTAACCACCAGCCCCATTAAAATCTAGGACATTTCCGTGCTCCAGAGCATTCTCACATACCTCTTTCCAGGGAATGCCCTCCTGAAGCCACAGAAATCAGAATAGAAGTTCTGCTTCCTTTCACAATGGCTTAGCAGTCCCTGCTCTGGAACCCATGCACAATAAATTATGCAGTGCATACTCTTTTGATATTAGTTTATTAGGCTCAACTTACACTTTTTGAGATTCATTCATGGTATGGTGTACATGAGTAATTCATGGATTTATGTTTTTATCGCTGAGTAATAGGCTATGGTATGGTTATACCACAGCTTGTTTGTCCATGCACATTTTGATGGGCATGGAAAAAGGAAATTTAAAAGATTCAAGAAAGGAAAAAAAAAATGTGTTTTGCGCCAGAATTGACAAATTCATTCCATGCTGTCAATTAAATGTCAGTTTTATGGTGGACATTATGTGGTGCATTGAAAGTGCCATTGTGATTAAAACCATTGGTGTACCTGGTCTCACTGCAATTGCAGGAGACGGGCAAGAGATGTGGATGATGAACAAGTGAGCAGGCCCATGACCAAAATAATTTTAGACTGTGATAAGTTCATAAAGGCACTACTCTTATGAAAAATACACCAAAGATTATACTTGTAAAAAAAAATCTTTGCAGTGTGGGGAATTGAACTCGCGGCTTCATGCATGCTAGGCCAGCACTCTGCCACTGAGCTACACACACAGCCCCAGAGATTACCTTATTAGGACAGATACTTTGGTATAGTCATTTTTAATTAAAATTTCTATTAAATTATTTATCTGAAAAAGAATCATTTGCATCAGTTTGAGTTTTTGCCTTAAAAATGTTTACTAACCAATGAGACGGGGGGGGGGGCGGTAAATCATAAAATCCAGATCATGTATGGACCCTTTCTTCTTTGCCCTTTGTTGTTACTAACTCTATTTCCTCTTAGTACATCGCCTCTTGGTATTACAGATATAACTGTGGTCGGTGGAGGGAGATTTCTTAAAAATAAGAATCCCGGTTCTAACACATAAAACCCAGAAACACATGCGCTGTGGGATTTGAATCATTTCCATCTAAGACAACCACCACCCTCTCCAGATCCTTGATACAAATATTTTCAAAGAAAGCTAGTCCCCCCCCCACCCCTTGAACGAGAGGCGTTTTCTCTTGAGTTCTACCGTCTGCATTGTTAAGAGAGAAGGAGGAAGAAGGAGACACAGGGAGATACTTTAGCATTCTATAATAAAGTAGTTCATGGCACAATTAAAATGATGTAGTAGAACAGTAACATGATATGCTGAATTTAAATAACTAAAGCTGATTAAGGAGGACATCAGAATTAAATGCTTGATGGAATTGACATAACAAATCCAAGATGGCCTCTCCGTGTTTCAGCAGAGAGATGGTGCCAGCCATTGATATTTTCCAGGCAAATTTGTTGATAGATAAAACATTTTTATAGACTTTCCATTATTCCTTGTAGCCATCAGCTTTTAATTTTCTCTTTCTAGTTAATATACTTGTGTATAATTTAAACAGAAAACTGTTCTGTTTCATCATAAAAGATTTGCCTGTTACTTTGGGTGTGTAAATCAAGTGGACAGCGCAACATTCTTGAACTTGTTTTTTAAGGCATTTGTTGACAACAACAGAAAAGAAGATCACAGACACCGCCAATAAGCGTGGACATCAATTATTTTTTAATTGTATAGGAGTACAGTACACTAATTAAAACTAGTATATCTTGCAATGCCAAAGGCAAAATTAATTATTAATTTTTATTAATATTCAGAAGTAGCACAAGGAATGCATTAATAAAGATTTGGTGGTTGTGACTGAGATCTTGTTTAGCTTTATATTTTAGGGGGGAAAAAAAAAGGGTTTGCTGGCTTGATCTGAATAGGGAAGCTCGCACGGAAGGCGTGATCTTTATTGAAATGGAACATGCTCTCCAGAGTGGATATTTAGTGACAGAAGATGAGATGTGGAAGGAGATTGTGTGAAAACCCCCAAAGCTTGTCTATAATGGTTTGACTTGACAACTCTACACGCACCTATAAAATTGTTATTGTTACCTTAGATACTTTTTGGTTATTAAATTGGAGATTTTAGTTAAGCCATCTTGAGTTGACATTTAATAATTCATTTAGGAGCCGTGCGTAGAATATTATCCAGCTCACCAAATCCAAGATGAACAGAATTAGTTTTAGACACTAAAAAGATTTTGACAAGATTTTCTCCTCCCTACTCTCCCTCCTTTCCTCCTCTCTCTCTCTCTCTCTCTCTCTCTCTCTCTCTCTCTCTCTCTCTCTCCCTCCTCCTGTTTTTTCCTCTCTTTCTCTCACAGTCTGTAGTCAGGCTTCAAGGCTTTCTTGTCCTAGCTGGCAAAGACAGGAACGCATTCGGGTTTTTAGACTGGTATCTTTAAGCCTACGTAAGCACAGCCTTAAAATAGTGAACCCCAAGATCATATACAACTATCACTAATATAAATGTAAAAACCTATGGTATAGAGAGGGTCCATCAATCTTGTGTTTCCTTTTGTTCAAATGATGGCCCCACGGTTTATGTAGCCTCTGCTAGATGCACATCGTGTTTGTCCACTTCCTTTAGGATGCATTTGGTTTTGGTAGTCTATACCAATAAATACCTTCATGAAACCCCGAATTTGGACAGTGCCATGGTGCAAAGGAATGTCCATAGAAGGACGGACTCTTTAGCCACAAGCTCTGAGATTCCCTAACACCTGCCCATCTGCCCTCGTGGGTGAAGCCATCAGACCTGCATCCTCCCGTGCCTACCATGTGGGGAGTGCTGTGCCTCACACAGCTCAAATCCTGTATGTTCGCGAATCTTCAAGGGTGAAGAGGAGAGGAATGGAGCATTCACAGCTACAATGAAGCTACAAGCATTTGTAGGCAAAACTGTATGGTACAGCATATGCACAGTTCATGCCTTCCCTTCACACCTCGGAATACAACAGGACTCCCCGTCACGCTCAAGCTGTCACCAGTCCCTTGGGAAGGCGGCTTTCTGGAGAATACTTCTTCCACCTGATGGTCCACCTTCCAGAACGCTGCTCTTGGGAAACAGCATCGAGTCAGTCGGGGAAGGCGTGCATTCCCTCCGTCGTGTTGGAAAATTTCCTTCTGAAAAAAATAGGAAGAAAGGGTGGATCTGTCTTCCATGGGCAGCCTCGGGCTGGACCCTTACATCTCGGTAGAGGTGGCCCTGCATTCGGAATCGGCGCGGAGTCCCAGTGAGGGCCTGACCATGTTGGCGCATTTCATTCCATTAAGAATCCAGTGGGAGGCGCAGAGGCTGGTGCTGTGTGATGTGTCAGCTGCCCCCACATGATGCCAAAGTGGCCCCGTGATCCCAGGCTCAGACTCCCAGGACTTTAGATGTTTAATGACCACTTCAAGGGAAGGTCTGGTCTTGTCTCATTGTTTATTTTTGTTCCTCCAAAATGGCCTGGATGGATATCGTGATGTTGGACAACTCCTGATGAGCTGTTTGGATGAGTAGGTAAAAATGATGGGTGGGTTAAAAACTAAGGCTCTTCATTCATTAATGCAAACAACAAATACTGAAGGGAGACCTGAGCTATTCCAGGGGATTTACTAGTCCCTGGGGTCTACAGATGAGTCTGGAAGGTACATCAACTAGTTAGTTAGCTGTTGCTGAATAAAACAACTCCAAAGATTAGGACTTAAAGAACATTCACATATTATCCCCTGTGCATCTGCAAGTGTGGTCGGGGTCGAATTGATCTAGAATAGATATGTAAGGTAGCCCTGCTTCAAGCTGGGGTTTTTACGGTGGCTAGCATGGCCTGTCTCTCATTCTTTTTGAACCAGAGAGGTAACTGGCCATGTTCTCCTCAGAGACTCAAGAAGATCTGTTGAAATGTGTGTATCACTGAAGATCTCATCTCCAAGATGGCACATGGTCATTTCCATCCACATATAATTGGCTAAAAGTGAATCATTCAGCCAATCTCAGGGAAATTGACCCCACCCATGAAGACGCCACAGCAGGAGTGTGGGTATAGGAAGGTCTGACGTAGACCAATGGTTAAACCTGCTGTGGGAAATCATTATTTCACGTTCATCATGCCATTGATGGACAAAGGAATGGCGGTTTAGTCTATTTTGACTGCTGTAACAAAATACCATAAACTGAGCGGAATGTAATCAACAGAGACCTAGCTCTCACGGTTCCGGAGAGTGGGAGTACAAGATCAAGGTGTTGTCTAGTGGTAGACCTGTCTTCTGGCTCATAGAAGGTACTTCCTTGCTGTGACCTTGCATGGTGGAAGATCTTCCTGGGGCCTCTTTTTAAGGTCTCTAGTCCCATCTGTGAAGGCTGTGTCCCCCACAAACTAATCACCCCACAAAGATCCCTCCTCCTAATATCATCACCCTATGGGGTGGGGTGGGGATTTCAACATGTGGATTTTAAGACCTAGCAAAGGGTGACTTCAGTTCTGAAAGTACTGGAGGAAAGTTTCCCACTCTTTTCTTCTGTCCCTCTTTGCTAAGGGAAGATCTAACTGCTGAGAATGTTGAGGATGGTCCGATGTCCATGTGTGGGTGACATTATGGGAGGTTTGCTGTGCCCTGTGGTCTTCTGTAGGTTTCTCTTTGGCAGCCTGGGGCAAGACTTCTCTTGGCTCCCGGTTCCGTGTGGCAGGAAGGCCT